TCAGATGTGGATGAATATTCTGCGCGTCGATCAATATAACAGATTCGTCATCGAGCAGATCCTCTGTCACCACACCACCTACGGCATGGATGCGCTTTCTCTCCATCTCATCCCTCAGGGCCGTCTTTGCATCAGTTGTTGAAGCATTTATCAGCTCAAGCGTAATACTGTTTGCATTCGTGACGTTCAGCTGGGTACCCAGCGCAGCAGCTGCACCGGTTATCATGGCAAGCGTTGCCCTCACCGCATGGGCATCGTCAGTCATCAGGAGAGCAGCTCCATTCAGCGGCGCACGGAGTCTCATGCCGTCTGTGTAGCATGTCAAAGCAGGAATCGTAAGCTCTCCGCTCAATATGTTCTCAGCGCGATACCCCTCCACGAACCGCTTCATGTAGACTCTTCGCCCACCTCTGTTGCAGTGGCAGATGGCGCCGTACGCAGCAGAAATAGCACTGCACTCATCACCGTAGTGACCAACCACAAGATCATCGATCAAATACCGGCGTTGGTTGTAGAGCGAGCGTCTGAAGGACTCCCTGTCCCTCACCCACACACGGCTGCTCAGCGCCTCCCACAGCACCTCACCGTCGATCCAACCAGCAACCATCATTTCACCATCGTTGTCGTCCTCCAGAAAGTGCTCGGGGCTATCGTACACCGTGTTCTCATCGCTCTCAAGGTAGCCCCGCATCACAGTCTGGAAGCGTTGGATCGCCTCGTATCGCGTGTCCTTCGCAAGTGGGTTCGTACCTGTCGTGATCAGTTGACCGGGTATAAAGGGAACACCGCCATCCACAGCTTCGCGCCACGTCCCAAGCAAATTCTCCTGCAGCACTCCGGGGCAAAGTAGGTAGGCGCCAGCTGTACGCTCATCCGTCAGCATCCGCGTAACGAACTTCACGGTGTCTTTGAAAGGCACACCGAACACAATAACAGCCTGCGGGCGTGTGGCCGCGAACTCCTCCCACGTGGCATTGAACACACCATCGTCAGCAGAGCCAGTCAGAGAGCTCTCCAGAGTGAAAACACAGCACAGCTCGTAATCAATGTCATCTAGCAGCTCTGTAGCGTGGGTGTACTCACTATCCCCAAACGACACGTTCTGCAGGTACATGAATCCCAGCCGCCACATCCTAAGTTCGTTCACGGCGTAGCGGAGGAGGGCCAGCAGCTCAGCAGCGGGATCAGCACGCACAAAGTAGAGGTGAGGATTCCAATTCCGCACCATGCTAGATCCAGTGAGCGGAGCAAATGATACCAGGTTGTGTTCTTCAAG